TTGCTAGGACTTTTTGATGGAAGTGGCAACGCCGCAATGCTGAAAATATTTTAGATCGATAGAACAGGTAAGGAAATGTGAGAGATGAAATTTTCAGAAAAATCATGCTTTGCGTTTTCCAGAAACGTCTAACCTACCATCGACCGTGAGTCACGCTGTATATAGCACTTCAAAGAATAAATGAAAAGAAACAATTCAAATACACAGAAACACAATTTGAGCAAAACTAAGTTCACATATCTCAGAAAACCCAGAAAACCTTATAGCTTTGACACAGTTATCTCCGGCTGTGAAAATTTAGAGTCTTAGACAGAGAATAGTTTATCACCAAGACGGCAATATCATCATTTCAAATGAAAATGTGGATTCTGTAATACTTCCTTCGATAAGTATCGTTATGTATCAAACGCTGTTTTATCGGTGGAAATCGTTCCTGACTTATTAGTAGTTTCGTTTCAAACGAATGATTTTTATCATAATATTCAGAAAAATGTATCATAATTTCACTCTAGTTCACCCCAATGAAACTTAACGTGAGTACGATATTGCTGAACGTGTGAACTATATTGATAAAAATCACTTCGATTTCTATCAAACATTCGATTGTGCCTCGGTTTGATTATTATCTCTTTGTTTACAAATTCATTTCTTACATAAGTGATCGTTTCTGAAGTAATTTCATTACTTCAGAAGCTCTGGAATAGACTGCGGTTATGTAACGTTTTCTTTAGATTTCAGGATTGCCGCAAAAATCCAGAGGCTTCATATCAGGTGATCTAGCAGGTCATTCTAAGAGACGGTGTTTGCCTATCCACTGATTTGTCATCTTACCACTTTCGAACCAGCTTGTCATCATGAGGAAGTATCCTATTTTGCTGATACGTTACATCAGCTGGAAATTCATTCGGGTTTGTAAATTATCACAACCGGTGGATAGGCGAACGTATGTTGCAGATACGAATGTGAAACTGCTAATTACTCAGAATTGGCTGATTCAACTCCTAAATTGAATAGTGTGGGATAGATACTTCAAGTGCTTGATATGATTGATATGATGTAAGAAACAAAGTTGTACACAGACTTCATCATCATTGGAATAAACTAAAGTAAGTTTTGAATATTTTATCAAAAATATGCTATTTATCGAATGTTTGCATATACGAATATAAAACTGCGAATTATTCAGGAATGGCTGATTCAAATCCTATCCCAAGTGCCTATAGGGGGTAGCGCCCCCTATAGGCAACTAATGATGAACACTATAGTCTGATTTTTCAAAAAGTACTGGAAAAGATGCCTTTCTACGTTGATTTTGTCCGTTCTGTATACTATACTTTTTATACCAACCTTGATTCACTTCTTCGTTCATGAGAGAATGGCGAATCGTTCGAATGAGTAAATAATTCGGGCACCTCATGATCTGCAGGTACGAAGCGATTCTAACTTCCACATCTTCATCCTGATTACGGAATCTATTTTCGAAATAACTTCTGGTATCCTCGCAAAAAGAACGCCGGAAAGTTTCCACTGCCGCTACTCTTATTGCAACGTCCAGATTAGAATTCTCTATAACTTCAAAAAGTTCCTGCTGGAAATCTTCCGATATCACGCCGGTGTTAGACAATGCTTTGAGTGTCACCATGATCTATAGCAGAAAATATTTTCTTTTATTGCTTATTGATTTTAGTTGGTATCTCTGGAGAAAAGGAAAGTTATTTGGGGATAGGTAGCGTATATCAGATATAGATATTACACAATTTATGTCTGAAGTTGAGATGCACAAATCATTTAGGACAATAGGTTTGCTGAATGTACGAAATGTTCGGTTTATGTGGAAACAATATTCAGAGGACTATTGAGATAAATAATTGGAATGAATATGGATTTATACAAGCACTGATTGACGACAATTAACATCGATCAATCTCAACCAAATTAACCAGAAACCACAATTGGTTGGTTCCATCATTCTTCACGTTTTAATTATTGAACTGAGTCGTTTTCAAATATAAACAATTGTGAATAGTGGTAGTGGGTTTTACAAAATGGCCTTCTCAATTAAAATATTTTCAACTTCCGGTCTCTTACCGTTTAACTGAAAGTTGAGGACAACTTCCTCATTTCAAATGGAACACCCTGTATTTCATCACATTTTTGAATTTTTCAGCACATTTTAGGCCCACTTTGTATATCAATGCCTATACCTAAATTTGTTAGTTTTCGAGATAAATATTACTGGATTTTTTTCCCAACAACAAATCATTATTTTCAACACGTGTTTCGATCACCAAGTGATCATCTCCAAAGAGGAAGATTAAGACTAGGAACTAGTGCGAGCTAATCCTATTTATGCTATAAAGGTAACCCATACAGGTAAACCATCCAGGCGTACCAACCATGCAGGTATACCAACCTAAATTAATTTTACAATTTTGCCTTATCTATTATTTTACAATATATGTTTATATAAAACAATTTTCAGCTATATAAAAATTAATTTCACAATATTGCCTATCCAAATTTATTTTTGCAATGTGTCCTTATGTAGTAATCAGTAAACCCAACAATATTATTTTATTTTAACAAGCTATATAGTATGCTCTTTGGTATAGGTCCGTCATCGTTATTCATAATATTATTGTGTTTACTTATTTCTACACTCTCATAGGCATCTAGTTGCCTGTTGTTGTTAACTTGTCTAACTAATCTTAAGTTCATCTTCAGTTCATTAAGACTGTTGAAAATGTGAAATTTCACAGAATCACACTTCAAGTACCAAGTCATGAACACGTCCATCGAATTTTCGAAAATAATTTACAGGGTGGTCAAAATTTCCACCTGAAACATAACATCGAGCAAACTAATGAAACACGATTTTTTCGAATGGAAACCATACACTATTCTATTATTTCTGGATACTACGAAAAAAAAAGATATCAAATTCATGATTTTGGGAAATATTTTAAATGTAAATCATTCGAAGCAATACCGAACCAAGAAAGCTTTGAAAACAAATCAACTAATATTATCTCTGTCGTTAGTGAAAGGTAACTCAACAAGAAAATGTATGGATTGAAATAAAATACTATCAGAGAGATGAATTATATCTTTGTTCATTGATATCAAACGCAGTAATTTAATTTTGTTCATATTATGGAATATCATTGACTTTAGGTCGATGATGGCCACTATTTTGCACTGACGAGTGGCTAATGATCCCGAAATCGGTCTGCAAGTGTGCCCGTTCCAAAATTGAATGTCGACTCGTTCAGTTGTATTGCCAGTTGCAACTGCAGGAAATTTTCTGTGAAGATTCCTGCACTGACACCTGTCAGATATAATCCAACGCCCTTCGTGGTATTAGCCAGGGGAATAGTTATTTTCTGATAGGCGTCAGTCCATTCAACCTACTGTGTAGGTATATTCGAGACTGGCTTGAACGTTAAAAGTTCATTTCTTCAGATATATTTTCATTTGTTTTCAAAGCTTTCTAGGTTTGAGCCATTTCGTAAAACCCACTACTACAGAATTTCAAGTTTTTATTTTGAATCGTTCTCCATATATTCCTAACGAACGCTCGTCGTGAAAGACCCTGTATACATTTACCATTTTCATCATGAATTTGAAAAAAATGAAGTCATGAATTTATGAGGAATATTATCAACAGGAAAAATGAAATGATCTCCGAGAAGAAAGGTTGAAATCAAATCGATTTTATCAGTTGATGAGTTAGTCCTGGCGAGAATCAGAAGATGATATTAAAATTTCCATCCAGACAAAATCAATAATTGAGCTTGTTCGATTGATATTGATATCTTATAGAAACTCATTTTGAATATGTTTTCGTTTCATTATGTCATACCATTTTCCAATTGATCATCGAGGGTTTCGGTTTGGGGTTTTTATACAATTTATTTGTTTTGCAATGCTTCCAACAGATTCATCTGCAATGAAGGAAAGGAGATAAATTTGTTGGAAGCACTGGAAATAAATAAATTATGTAACTCTCATTTGAAAACCCTCAATGATCAACTAGAACTATGCAAGTCTCCTCTTTCGAATTTGTAAAGATTGATACCTAGTTTAAGATCCATTGGTAGTTGGAGAATTCCACAAATAGGTTTCTGGGATCAATAGTTGGTAACCTTGACATATTATAAAAAATAAATAGTTATTGTTTTATTATAGTATTGATAATGATAATTCAGGTAACATTTGTTATTTCAGGTACCTATTGCAGATACCTGACTGTATCATTATACAGAGTGGTCCAACGAAAAGTATGCACCATGCTTTTCTCCTTTTTTTGTAATTTAACGCAAAAATGCTCGGACTGATCAATTTTTCTTTTGAGGAAGACACATTTTAGATGTTTTTTTCTACCTGTGCCTTCAACCTCCTAGCGAGGGTGAGTAAAATTTTAAATGGAAAGTGGGGTCGGTGATATATCATTTGAAAGGGCACAAAATTATCTTTCCAATGATACCTAATTTGTTGTATTCCACTCAAACATGTATGTATTATGAAGAAAAACAACTACAACCCAGTACTTTGAAATGTGTAATTGACTTAGTAGAATCCTACTTCACCAAGTGCTGAAAATGTGACCCATTTGCTTACATACAAAAATACAGATTTTGTTCAAATCTATTCCTAACATTCTGTAGCATATCAGGTGTTATACTTCTGCACTCTGCTGTAATTCGTTGGCGAAGATCTTCTATGGACTCGGGCTGCGTAGCAAAACATTTATTTTTCATGTGTCCCCAAAGGAAAAAGTCTAAAGGCGATAAATCAGGTGACCTGGCAGGCCATTCGATGGGGCCTCTCCTTCCAATCCACCGTCCAGGAAACCAGTCATCTAAAAACTCTCTTACCGGAGCAACATAGTGAGGAGGTGCTCCATCTTGCTGGAAATGAAGCCGACCTTCATCATGATTTTGGTCATTTTCAATTATTTCTGTTATGAGAGGATCAATTGTATCTTCAAGCATATTCAGGTAGACCTCACCAGTTAAATTCCCAGGAATAAAAAGTGGCCCTACGATATGACTATCTAATATGCCACACCAGACATTGATTTTTTTGAGGGTACTGGATATGGACCTATCGGAATGAGTGTGGGATACTGTCATCCCAGTAACGGCAATTATGCTTATTCACAGCTCCATTAAAAAAAAGTACTTTCATCGGAAAAGCACGTGTTGAATGATAGGTGCGGATCATCAATTAGTAGCTGGCTCAGTTGTTCACAAAATTACAGCCTTCTATCAGGATCATCTTCATTGAGTTCCTGTACTAATTTAATTTTGTACGGATGAAATTTATAGGCTTTTAATATCCGTATTATGGACGAACGGGAGACACCTGAGGCTGCAGCAAGCTGACGGGTACTTTGAGTATGATCCAATTCAACATGTCCCAAAACAGGGACTTCCACTGCTTCATTTCTGATCGGTTTCCGTGGCTGGTGTTTCACATTACAGACAGATCCGGTATCGACAAACTTTTGGACTAACTTGGCAACGTACGAATCATTCACATTTTTCCCGGGATGAATGTTATTAAAGAGGCGAGCAGTCTAGCACAACTATTATGTTGATAATAAAGTTTAACAATTTCAACTCGTTCAGGAATGGAATAAACCATTTTTACAGTAAAGTTGAAATAATTTCAAAAGCAACCGAACTGAATCAATGAACGTTTGCCTATATTCTTTTTGTACACTTATCTGCCGTTGTTATTTGAACCAAAGAACGCACGAGAGAAATTGAGGAATGTAGTAATGATAAAAATGCCGTTTTTCCGCATTTTCATCAACACCAAAAATATCGAGTAAATGTTCTTGCTTTTTTTATAACTATTCAAGTAAATACAACAAATTAGGTATCATCGGAAAGAGAATTTGGTGCCCTGTCAAATGATATATCACTCGACCCCACTTTCCATTTAAAATTTTAGGGTTGTTACTCACCCTCGCTAGGGGGTTGAAGCCACACATTTAAAATGTGTCCCTCTCAAAGGCAAAATTGACCTGTTCGAGCATTTTTGCGTTAAGTTACAAAAAAAGGGGAAAGGCAAGGTGCATACTTTTCGTTGGACCACTCGATATATTTAAAGACTTGTTTTGTCAAAATGCATTCGTGAACTTAAAAACGGTTAAACAAATCGAAACGGGTCGTAACAAATAGAAACTCAGTAGAAATAAGACAAAAGTTATTTTTTCTCAACTATAATCAATAATTGAGCAAACAATATATTAAAAAACGGAAATTCTTTTAATCACAAAGCTTTGTTGACGGTTCAGTATTTAATTCGCTCCAAAAACACAGAGATTAATGTTTTTGACGTTACAATGACATTTACTAATAATCCCTCAGCAATTTCTGGATGTGATAACTTTATTTCCATACATTTTCCCTTCGTTAATATGCCTATAAAAGCTCTTTGTTTCGAAAAATTGGAGAGACGCTAATTCACCCAATCGCCTATGGGCAGGTCACTTTGATCTATTAATTGCAATACGTTGGACAGTTGGATCAGTTCTGGAATATGGGGTTTCACGAAAATCATCAGAAAGTTCAAAGACAGTTCTTATAAAAATCTGAAAGAGGATGAAAAACTCATTCAATTTGTATTCATCCAGAATATTGCCAGTTGTAGATGCGAAAAACGATGAAATTAATGTATCCTCCCGAACTCCACTTATAATAATGTTCAATCAGTACTCTTCTACGTAGATTGCCAAATGTTATAATTTTAAAATTTTGAAGGTGAGTGGATTGTTCATTCACTAATAGATAATTATTTCACTAATATGAAATATTGCAAAACTGGCTCCTTCGCCATTTTATCTGTTTTTTTTCCATGAATGATCAGCATAAGCTTTTGAAGAATTTTCGATGATCATACATCATCAAACAAAATATAATAAATTTCAAAGAGAAACTATTTCTTTGTGTTTACAGTGCAAGTGATATTTTATCATTTCAAAATTGGTTATTAGTTTACCAGCTACATTTCAGATGACGTATCATTTTTCATGAAGAAAACGATTTTTTGATAGACTCGTTTGAGAAAAACTACCTTCTCTCAGGTCAATTTATATCACAACAAAAATAAGTATGAATGTCATGTTGCCTCATCCGAAAAAATCCACGCGAATGAAATCTGTCAATTCGGATCCTTTTCATTTCATTCACATCCGTTATTTACTGGACCACAATGCTCAAGCTTATCGGAATGAACTTGATATCATAGTTTCTCGTAATTTCATGAAAGGAACGTTATATGTTCTTTTTTCAGAAATAAAAGATCTCCTACGTGAGCTGTTGAGATTTGGAGAATCATTTTTGTTGCGTTTTGGATTTCAAATCAAGGTAGGCTTCAATCGTTGTCAGTAACATAGAAAAAACAATAAAGATATAGTTTACGAACTTGTGCCCGTTTTTTATCAGTTTTTATGTTATTCTGCTTCTAGCACGATCATTCAAAATATTGACCGCCTTGGTTTGTGAAAAATTCTAGACATTACAATTGAAGTTATTTTAGCGCCTAAATAACGAACCGGATAAACCCATATTCACGCTCACCCCGGTATATTTATATATTTTTCAATTCAGCTCTCCATTCCACAATCAAAAATTCTGTTTTGGTTGAAAATAGGGGGAAGTACTTTCAAAAATTGTCTTGGGGGCTATGATGACTGGAAAATTATTGGTTCACTTCCATGATCTGTGTGGAAATCAAATCACTACTTCTAACGATACCAGGGGAAACCAAAAAGTTGTTAAGGCCAAGCCTGAATCGGTTAACACACGGTATAAACATTTGAAACCTAAACGGGTTAATTCTGAATGATATAAATCCACTGGCTTGTCAGAAGTAAATTGGAAAATCAAAATAGTAATTAATGGCAAAGGAACATTTTTCACTTTAAGAATATGTCATATAGGGTATTTATTAAATATGCGGCAAAAATCAAGGGACTATTCCTTGGACTATTCTGCAGTGTAGAACACTACAGGATTGTTCTACCACTCCTCCACAGCAAACTACGAGAACTGGCGAGAAAAAAATTATAACAAATACAAAAAAACAAAAAAAAATAGAAAAAGTAATACAATATACACCTGATATCAATCAACATTCGAATGACAAAAAAATATATACAAGGATAAATTATTGAATATTCAAGTTTGTTTATCTAGTAGTTCAATTTTCAATTTTTGCCTGAAAATACCTATTTTGAAATGTTTTAAATGAGGGGGAAGTTTATTGTAAACGTTGCATATCTGATACGTAAATAATCAATTGAAAAATTCATGACAGTGTATCGTCGTACCCTTTGCGCCGTACATTCAAGTTGTGTACGTCAGTCCGAAACTTTATTATATAGATAAGTCCGAATTTTATCGGATAACCTTATAATAGAAACACGCTGAGTGTAACGATCTTTGGTTTTCCATATTGGGCCAACAAGTTTCTGACAGCTTTGATGAGATTCTGTTCCTTTTACGTACCCCATGAATAAGGCGAAGGCAGGAGTTTTGAATCATTTAGAGTCTTTTCTTGTTCCTAATTGTGAGGCTTGGTCCATAGAGTACATCTGCATAGTTCAAAGATGAAAGAACGATACTGTCACTGTTTTAACAAAAAATATATGCAATGTAGTCTTCAAGATGTTTATCCAAATGTGGACATTGCTTCACGTATTTTTTTGTATTCCGGCTACAAACTGTTCAGGAGAAATATGTATTTCTACTTTGACAAGAGTGAAAACCGATTTACCTACGTGCAAGTATGGGTCAAGGTAGACTTAATGCTCTTGCATTACTATCTAATGAAGCTCAACTAGTTCAAGAAATTGATTATGATGATGTATTTTATATTTTTACGCGGAACAAAGCCAGGAAAAAAAACTTTCAAACTGATTAACAAAAAAAATGATCATTTATTTGTCTAATCTCTATTACTTATGTATCTGTAATGTTTATTAGTTATAATTGAAAATTAGATTCTATCCATCGCATCGAACGAAATTTTTTTGACTCAATTTGCAGTTTTAGCCGAATATCAGATTTTTTGCGTGGCAGATTCAGGTAGGCATAGTTTGTTTTGTGAATCATTGGAAGTGTTTGAGATCATTTCATGACCTTCAAATTTAATCACTTCCGGTAAGGGTGAAAATAATTGAAATAATTAAAGGGTTGTCATGCTATTCAATCATCCTTCTGTGAAAGTTATTTTGAAATCGGTAGCTGAATATCTTGTAACTGGATCGACTTGAAATGGAAAGAGGTTGATTTAAAATTCGGTACTTCATTAATGAAGTTATATAGAAAGCAGTAATGGAAGTGATACAAGAGCCCGGGGTTTATTAAGAAAGAACAAATTCCATCGGTATTAGTTCCGGTTGGTTCAATTTCCGAAACTCTACTAGTAGTAGAGTCTAGAAGATGACAGCACGACCAGCTGTCGAAAGCGCTCGCATATAGTTAAATAGGAGTTATAAAGCTTCAAATCCTTTTTGTGATTTATATTACCATTAAAATACTGAAAATAAAGGAAAATTAGTTGCATCATTCAAAATATATAAATATATACAGAGATATAGATGTTATTAAGTGTGTATGATATAAATCAAAAGAAAAATTTGTGGACAGAACACTCAAAAAGTGGGGGCAAACCGCGAACACGTGTTTCTGGCTATTGAGCTCATCAGCGCGGTGCAGCCAATTGCAAAGATGGGCAACAACTGGTTACCAAAAATGAAAAACTTCACATATGCACGGTGTCACTAACAGGAGCTAACCGCACAATTGTGGTTTTAATTAGAAGACCTAGCATTCCCAGGCATCATCTAACATCACACTCAATAACATATATATCTCTGTATTTATATCCTGGACCCGGAACAAAATATTTCCGATTTCAACAATATAAAAAAATGAAGGTTTCTCAAAAAAATATCAAAATCGAAACTCTTTCTGGGGAATTCTGGAAATTTCATGTTTATGTATTCAATATTCATTGACGCCTCTGAAAAAGTTTCTCAGATATCATTTGTATGATTTTACTACGTCCGTCTGTAACTTCTGCTGACTGACTATTCATACTTTGAATCTCTGGTATAAAATTATATTAAATGACGAATCAGAAAGTATCAACTGACAGATATTTTGGTTTTTTTGCATCTACATAAATACGTTAACTACAATTTGTAAGTGCATTATCACAATTATATATTTATCAATAGAACTAAGAGTACGTAGTATTCTGTTCAACAATATCAAAAGTATCAAAATGACTTCGATAACAACCTAATACGAGTCCGTATTTGTATTGCTCCATTTTAAAGTACACATTCATGAGAAAATATTAATAAACTACCTACCATTCTCTATCGCAACAACCGCTAGTACTTACTTGGTCATGTATATTCCTATCGATGTTATTACTCCTGTAAAGTTGTAGAAAATGATTTTCCAAATGGTTCACAATGGAATCGACAGCGTTAGTGCTCCTGCAATCTGAGTGCTGACTACAATACGTATGAGTGAGGGAAGCGATACTCAGAGCAGCATTCGGAGAGAAAGTTTTTTCTTCTAAAAGGTTCCATGCAGCTTCCATCGTTTCTTCGTCCGGATTCGCTATGAAACCGATTGAAAATATCCATTCGTTGATTGTTCTCTTCGGAATACTTTTTTTGACGATGATATCCCTCATAAGAGCCACTGATCCGGATGTTCTGACGTATGGGAGGGCATCGAGTAGATGTTTACTTAAAAAAAAAGGCATGTAAGGATCAGAAGATATCTAATTTTGAAATTGGCTATCGAAACTGATTTTGTGATAGTTTTTTCGATGAAGCTATTACTAATATTCTTCATCATTATGAAAATTCTTCTCGAACTGGTCACAATGGTCTATGGAAGGGATTACGAGAATATTGATATCAATTCGTGTCTAGAACAAAAATAACTCACACACATACCAGACGTGTCTTTTTTAGTGCTTTCATCCAATTCATTTTTAAAAGTACCACACAAATCCACGTCGCAAGCTGTTCTGAAGGTGGTGAGTAATGTGATCGAGGGCCTTGAGGAGGGCAAGATAACCGCCATTTCACTCTGCGACCTATCTAAGGCGTTTGAGTGCATCTCTCACTCTATTCATCTGGATAAGCTGCAGTTCTATGGAATAAGAGATGTAGCTTTATCGCTCATTGACTCATATTCAACAAATCGTTTACAAGCTGTCACATATAACAGCTGTACATCTAATTATAAACCTATCAAACATGGAGTGCCCCAGGGCTCAGTCCTCGGCCCACTATTGTTCATCATTTACATCAATGATCTACCTAATTTTTTACATCCCTATAAGTCAGTTTTATTTGCTGAGGATACTGCGCTCATCTTTTCAGGTGACCCCTTGCCGGATCATTCATTCATTCATTCATTCTTGTTCAAGGTAGGTTATCTCTGAGATATATATAATGAGTTCAATTATCAAATATGGAGCACTGACTGATAAATATGATCTCACGAATACGTTTAATTGTCCAAAAGCCAAAATTAGTGAATTTTCTTTCCGAATTCTCTGTAAAATCGAAATAAATATCATATTTTCAGTAAATTCATTGTTCAACAGTTTTTGGGTTGATAATGAATCTAGTTATATCCCTGAATTACCAACCACTTGTTTAAATTATGAACTGTCATTCAGTATCCCGTGAAAATTCAAAATAAATTAACAATCAAGAAATTTGTGCTACTCTACCAGATATAACCGAACAATATCGCGATGAATAATTCGCAGCTAGCAAAATCAAGAGGAAAATACGAATATAATTTCGAAAATTTTATGAGTTGGAGAGAAATACCTACCTGAGAAATACCTGTTCGTACTTGTATCTGACATTATTATATTTTTTAAAACTCTTCAAATTTATTTATTCACTCACAAAGTGACACAGTGTCACAAACACAAAACCCTCAATAGTTGAACATCTGAGTTTGTATAAAAATCCCATTTCGAGTCCTTCAACAGGTGATGTGAACCTGGATTACTTCAAAATTCTACCGATGCAGCTCTCACTAATTTCATTGAGAGTTATCCTGCATACATTGAAGAAAAAATTATGTTCAAACAAAACGCTGCTTCTTATTCACAAAATGAGCTAATACTACATCTATAGGATCAACATAGAACTCAATCCTTGAATATCAAAGATAAACTGGACTCCCTAGTGGTCATTTGCGAAGCTAATCTTTCACTGCAGTTTTCATTGCAGAGCAACTAGTTTTTCAACATGTGCCTAATTGTTCCGAAGTTTCAAAGTCACTGGAAAGGAGTGAAATTGAGTAATCTCTCAAGTCACTCGAATTGAGTCCTTTAGATCAATAAGGAAGTATATCGCAGTCCACCTGACACATTAGCAGACCTGTTAAGATGAATTCCCTATGTTGCAAAATGACTCAGCAAATGATCCAGAATGGACAACAACGGTATGCAGATAGATTGTTATTGGATATAGTTGGGCTAACAATATTTTCAGGAAAATCAGTTTTCAAATAATACTTATTTGTTTTTGCATTTCAGAAACACATTAGCATTTCAAAGTTCCGCATCTCTCAGCGAAGAATCAAACTCAATTATTGTTTCCATCATGAAACATTTCATACAATTATGATTGTGTAATTAAAAATATTGAATTGAAAGTACAAGAACTAAAAGTTATAATTTCAATCATCTACTTCTTCAACGTCGACTTCCAACCGCTGTAGTATTTCAAAGTTCTTTTCTTCATCATCTTCAACGACATTTGACTCCAGGTCTTCCATGATTTCGGAGTAAAAGGTTCTATCTTCATTGACATCGCTCTAATATGGTGAAGCATTTCTCTAGAGCAGTTGCCAAAATTGATAGGTTACAGGAATTGGTTACGCATTGTCCAACCCCATTGCTGGGGTTCCAAATCATGCCCTAACCAAGCTTGAACTAGATAATAAACACGACTCAAATATTGGTGAGCTGCTGCACTTGGTGGAATATTCTGATAACTGCACAGGTTTATTCAGTTCTGTAGACTTGACGTATTGTGAATAACGGAGATGATCGATACTGTCCACAGAACTTGGAGCATTATAGACTGCCAACAGAATTCGAATTCCATTATGTTTGATCCGGACAGTTTTCTTCTTCAAGTTAATCCAAATATGACAGTTTCTCAAATGCACTTAATGAGTTCAGTAAAATGTGCTTTTTTGGAACGAGGATACTTATCAAAACTTTTGGAATAGTATATTTTTGTTTGTACATTTCCTTTGGCGACTTTTTTGAAGAAAATTCCTAGTTGCTGAGATAGTGTATGCACAATAAAAATGACAAGGAAAATCAGTATCTCCTCCTATTATGACTGTAGTTTCTTCAGGTTTTGAATTTTCAATTGCTGTTTCAATAATGAGTACATCCTCATCATCTCTGGCCTGATTGATAGCAATATTTACAGCTTGTAATTTTTCAGTTAGATTATCAATGAGCTTTCCTTTGTTACTTTGATTTGAAGAAAATGTTTCTTGCGTAATTGGTACAACCATTGTTTCATCGAAACACACTTCATATGTTTTTGAAATTATCACAGTTCTCAGCTCTCTGCCCTCATTTCGAAAACTTTTACAAAGTTTTAAAATACCGAAACCCCCCCCCTATTTGTACAATAAGATAACATTTCGCTCTGATGTAAATAATATCAACATTAGACGAAAAAGTTTGCTTTCTCCCCCAATTTTTCACACAGAATTTTACAGACGTTCAGTTTCATATCACATCACCAAATGTACCACCAAATGTATGAATAAAATACCACCACAGTTGAAAGAACTCTCGTTATCGACTTTCCGGACGCGTATCATCAGATTTCTCGATAGATAGTAAGTTCTATTTTTATTTTTCAAATTGTGTTCATTTTTCCCATTTTTCATCTTCAATTCGATATGAGAAATAATAATTAGTTCCATCTGAGAATTAATAATATACCACTTACAACTTTAAAAAAAATTATGTATGTTTCTTTGAATAATCTTCATCTTCAGTTTGAACTGTGATTTATTAATTTAGTGATGGCAATGTTTATATTCCTTGTAACGTAGGTGCATTTGAAAATAATCAATGTTTTCATTTTGTTTGTTCTAATTTGCTATTTAGTAGTCTATTTTGGGTTAGGTGGAAGAACAGATGTCAGTCTATACCTTTCGGTGCCGATTGCCATACTGAATCTCGCCCATTTACTTTTTTCTAGTTCACATGTATGAATATAACTGAAAATTAATAAAAGACCTTTATTATTATTATTATTATTATTATCATTATTCAACGTATAGAAAAAAGTTTCAAACGAAACTTGTAGGGAATTCAATCCTCTACAATGTCGATGTCAATACAAATAGCAAAAACCCAATAGGAAAGGAGATATTTTCAAAAAAATGTGCAAAGAATCGATTTTCATGACCTTTGACCTTAGATTTTGATAGTCGCGTATACCCTACCACATGTAGGTTTTGGGACAATTTTATACGACTAGTTTATACGAGTTTGTAGCTGGGTATCTCAAATTCCGATATTCTTACCTAATTTTGACTAAGATGACTGGACAACTAAACCCCGGGGGGTTAATTCGTCACCTCGACCGATACATGTGATGTTCGTTCTTTATAGCTGCAACTCAAACAGTCAATTTCAGGATATAGTATCTCATTGTATGGAATATCGGTTTATTCTCCCAACCCCTTCAGGCGACCATGTTCAGTTGTAAATATTCCCAAACTAACTCGTAAAAATAAAAGATGAAATCTGAAACTTCCACAACGTTCATGTTGACCAATGCAGTATCCGAAATCAGTTCCGAACTGTGCTTACTTAATTGCTTTTTGAGTTTATTAAAGTAGCTAGTTTGTTTGAGTGCGGATTAAACTCCTTAAAAATAAACATACTTCCCAACGGGGCAGATCGCCCCAGCTTGTCCGTGCAGTGTTGTTAGTGCTGAATATGAGAGCTTCCGTAAATTATGAATAAATTTACTGAATAAATCCGACATATCCATCCTATCGGGCATTTGATTCTGTTTGCACAACTGTTTGATTAAATCTTTTGCTGCATTCAAATCGTCATTTGTTGGCTTCGTTGAAATGGCGTGATCGAAAGTCAGAGGGACTCTTTTTGTTATTTCATTTTCGTCGGTCATCGGTACAAATATTTCGTCCAATAGTGTCAGCTGTTGGGACACGACTGTGACTGCTCCTTCTTCGAAATTAGAAAACGGTTGTAGAAGGTACCTTTCCTCACATTTTATCTCTTTATAAATATTGTGGTCGATGGTTAGTATGCATCTACTAGAGGATTTCAGGATATTGTTGGTGTTCTGAAAAACAAAAAATATATTAGCAATAACTGGTACAATTAACAGTAGGATTTTCACTATAGCGGTTTTACAGAAACCGCGGTCGAATGCTATTTGTGAACTACTTAGCCAAAGCTGTTTATTCTAGTATTAAACAATCCCTTGACAACAAGGAGATTGCGGTTGCTGTATTTCTTGATATTGAAGAAGCATTTGACAATGCACTACCTGAATCTATAGGATTGTCTCTGGCAGGGGTATAGAATCGACCATAAGTGGCTGGATCTATGCCATGCTAGTAAACAAAATTGCAACTACGAATCTTCAAGGCGAGGCCATTAGGTTTAGGATCACCAAGGGCTGCCCTCAATGTGGGGTGCTATCTCCCCTTCTGTGGGAGGTGAAATATCTTGGCATCCTTCTTGATAAAAGACTCACCTAGAACGCTCACTTGGAAAAAGTCTCACACAAGTCAGACTGTCTCTATGGACATATCGAAGGATTTATGGTAAAACTTGGGGTTTAGGTCCCAAACAAATCCATTGGATTCATGTGATGATTGTCAGACCAATGATCACTTATGGTGCAATTTCCTGGTAGCCGAAGGCTTTACAGAAAACGGCCCAGGCGAAGCTCTCTGGCTTACAGAGACAGACTTCTCTGTCCATCAGTGGTGCCATCAGTACCACACCTTCAGCGGCCATGGAGATCCTTTTAGATCTACCTCCTCTCCACATTCTTCTGGAGAGATAGGCTAGATGGGCTGCATAAAGACTTGTGCACAATGCCAATTGTACAAATCAATTCAATGCAGAGTGCAACAGACTGTTGGTTGACACTGGAAGTCACAGCATTCTGGAAATGACCTCTGACTTCATGACTCCAACTGACAACTACGTACTGCCTTATAAAGTACTGTTCTCGAGCAAAGAGGACTCCGGGAGAAGGTAATATAGAGAACAGATAGTTGTTGGTTCATAAATGGATCAAAAACAACTTCCGATTCTGGTGCAGGTATTTACAGTCGCAGACCCAGGGCAGAGATATCTACCTGCCTAGGAACTATGCGACTGTATTTCAAGCGGAAATTCACGCTATTGAATTGTGTGCGGAGAGATTGGATGAATCCAGCCTCACACACAAGTCAATAAAAATGTTCTCGGACAGTCAAGCGGTGTTGGTAGCTCTTGGCTCACACGGAGCAAATTGGTAGCAAAGTGCCAGAAACGACTCTTCTCGATAGAAAGACTTAACAGATTGCCTCTGGTCTGAATTCCTGGCCATATTGGCCTGGGAGGCAATGAAGCTGCTGACTCCCTTACAAAGGAGGGTGCTGCAAGCAGCTTCATCGGACCAGAACCTGTCATTAGCATAGCTTTAGGCTTTGCCAAACAAAGACTGAACATCTGGATGGCAAGAAGATTTATGGACTTCTGGCAGAGTATTCTAGGATTGGCTCACTCCAAGGCGTTCATTCACCCTCCGAAGCTTGATACCAAACAGTTGTTGGACTACAGTAGGGATGAACTACGATGTCTAACTCTTACAGGTAACTGTCATTTGAATCATCATATGCAAAGACTTGAACGGTTGGAAGACAGTGTGTTTCGCCTCTGTTTGAAAAATGATGAAACAGCAGAGCATATACTTTGTGCCTGAATCAGGTTCTTAGAGTTTGGCAGAGCCGTACTCTTACCATCTGAACTGAAAGACCACCCGCCATACAAACTGATCGGCTTCGTTAAGAAGCTGGGTTCATTTGGTCGAGTGTGAATAGGTGTGAGCCACAATGAACCCTTGTGGGTTGCGGTGGAGGGTCGTATAGACGGACTCACTTTAGACCTAACCTAACCTATTCTAGTATTTCGTTCTTCACTTCAATCCAGAAATTTAAATGCAGGCTCCGCGCCTCATATGCGGTTTTATCGATAGACACACAGTCCTAGAAATACCCGAAACGCTTAGCTAAGCAAAAAATGGGTTTTTCCTTGGACTATTTCGTGTGGGCCTGTTTGATGAAAACGAGATAAAATTAGCGACTTAAGTAAGGCGGGACCATAGGCTAATTAATGCCGTCATTTCGATACCTCGATACGTGTTTCGTCACCAAGTGATCATCTGCAAGAGGAACTTCAATCTTCCTCTTGAAGATAATCACTTGGTGATCGAAACACATATCGGGGTGTTCAAACGGTGTGGTGTTGAAAAAATGTCCAGTAATATTCATTACTACACCAAAGGTTCCAAACATTGCATCACAAGTACATAATGACGTCCAGGGCAACAGAACCGAGTCTGTATCGTAAGGACTCAACAAAAATACAAGCAGATATTCGGTTTCTTAAAAGATATTCGGTTTTTCCAAAATTTATTCACGTAAATATTCCTACTAATTCTGCAGTTGCTGATAAAGTCCAGAAATTCACCAGAGATAAATGGCTTGATTTAAAATTCGATCATCTGTACACTACCTGTAGTCTCTTAGAAGATAGTCTATACAAAAACTAACATATAGATTAGACGAAAATGATTACGCACAATGGAATGACTTCTTGAGAGGAATGTTTCGGATGATTGAAACGAAATATATCATGAAAATGTGTACTTTGAATAAGAAACTTGAAATCCTCATAACTGAGAATGAACCAAAAGAAGCCACTTCGAAAGTCATAAACATCGTCGAAAATCATTCATCACAATCGTTTATAAAGGAAGAGATCAAAGTTTTGAACAACGGTTTGAAATTTGGCATCCCTTCTTCCGAGAAAGTTCTTGAGGATATCATTGCTAGTGTTAAAAGTTTGATTCAATATATGCCTGGTTCCTGGAAGGGACTAGTTCGAGAGGAAGTGGGGAATAAAATTTCCAGGAACATGATAACAGTTTACAGTTCAAACTTCCTCTTGAAGATGATCACTTGGTGATCGGAACACGTGTCGAGGTGTTGAAATAACGGTTTGGTGTTGGGATAAAACTCCAGTAATATTCATTACTACACCAAAGGTTCCAAACAGGTCATCACAAGTTGGCAAATCGAGATCAACTGTAACCTTCCTTGATCCATCTCGCGATGGATCAAGGGAGGTTACAAAAAACTTATGATATGGTACCTGCGATTGCTTTGAGAGTTTATGGAAAGAGTATTCGCAGAGTTTTTGCTTGAGGCGTCCTGGGTTATTTCTGAAGAGCCAAGGCAGAGGAGTCAAAGGGGGATTTTAGTCAAGCGAAGTCAAGTGTTTGATATTTGAAAACGGGCGGTTAACACAAAATAGCAGAATTATCCGAGATGAGCTAGAAAGACGGCGGTGAGTTTACTGTACAGGTGTAATAACCGTTATTTGAGTTTTGGGAAGGAAGGTAGCGGTTGCAAACTCTTAAGATCTTTTTCAACTGCAACTAAAGACCTCCTCTTCGTGAAAGATGCCAAACTCAAGCTCCTTCCGGGATTACCTTAACATCCAAAATTTGATATGGAGAAATCCGCATATGGTGACAGCAGCTGCCAAATCAATTTAACAAAACAATCATGACGGTAGCTATAGGGTTACAAATGGTTATTGCTCAACCATATTTTTTCATAAATAATAACAGATAGCTAAGAATGAATGCTATTGTTACAACTGGTAATAGAAAGTTGAATGAGGTATTGATACAGTGATGACGATTGGTGGAATATCGTTATAAGTCAAGTAAATGCCTACCATTATTATTATTACGTATTATTATCACACTGATGGCCAGCTGAAGTAGTAGCGTTACATTTCAGAGATGATTTTTTCCACATTACGGTGTTCAATTTATAAAGCAACTGTGAAAAAATTCATTTTTCAAAGATCAGTGAAAAAAGATCAGGACCTTGTCACACTTTATCAACTTCCATCAACACTTCATGAAGAGAGAAAAGACTATTACCGATCGAGACATGCGCATCGTTTCCGATTTTATAGACGAATGCAGCTTCGAGTTTCCTTGGCATCGATCCAGATCTTTATTCTTTTCGATCAGCAAACTGGTTTCCTTCACTCCAACGACTTTGTAATCAGTGGGACAACTTCCCCGGACGTCCACTTCCTCGGTGGAAAGGTCAAGATCCAATCGTTTCATCGAATTGTGTAGCATACTCAGAATTCCTCTTTTGAAGTTCAAAACCCATTCTTTCTCATCCTCCCTGGGACACAATTCGCTAATGACGCCGTCCTTAAAGGAAAACCTCAAGGAATATTCCGTTATCATGTCAGCAAATAGTTGAGTATTAGCGTGTTCCGAACTCTCCGAGCCATCTCTAGGGATGTTTTCACTTAATTTAATGTCCGCTAGGGTCAAGAGTCCGTCGCAAGGTGTGAGAAATGCCAGAGTTGCCGTCCCTTCCACGTATAGGGTTGATTCGTTCTTGCTTGTCCCGTTGAAGAGAGACCTCACTTCTACCGAATATTTGTAGTTTCGCTGTATGTCTGGTGTATACTTGAATTTGCCGGCACCTGAAACATAAGTAATTCGATTTTGATGCGGGAGTATATAGGATTACTTTAGAGTTAAAGCTATAATCAGTAACAGGGACACATACAATGCATAATGAACGACATAGAATTCGAAGAAATATATTGTAGCGAAACAAAACAAAGTAGATCATTTCATAACATAATTCGTCCAAACATTTGATGCTATAGCATCAAGAATCAGGAAGTCAGTTGAACAAAATATCCAATGATAGAACAGCAGCACCACAGAACAATTCAGAAACGTCACGAGGAATATTTAGATATGACAGAAACGTCAAATAGTCTTCTACTGAAAAAATAACTACTGTTGAAATTTTGATAGCAGTATTTCACAATTTCCTCTGCATGCGTGACTGGGGCATGCTTCTCTTGCCATAGTGTCACTTTCAAACAATGACCAATTACAGCAAAAATCGTAGCTCTTCACTACCAATAAACAGTTTGTTTGGTCTGAGTTACATTATTAAAGTCGGCTTCAACAACTTATCTTTGATAAACTCTATATTTATCCTAATAAATCAAGTACTTTCTTCAATTAGTTCTTGTGTTTGTAAAAAGTTGATTTCATTTGTAAATGTATGCAGGTCAATAATTCACTGCCCATACATATATTTATGATGGTTTTAAATATTGAATATTCTGCAGTAACACTGGTTTAGGAGAAAATTCAAATAAGCCGCGTATATGTTGTCCAACAACGCATCTAGTCAAGCTAGCGTAGAGATACGTAACATATGGAAACCTCTAATTAAGCGAAAAACGACCAACTTCCGTCCAACGGTCATCTACCGCCAAAACCAAATGAAGCCGAAAGAGGGAAGAGGGGATAGGTGAATCAACTCGAATGACCTATAAATAGTCAGATCTCGGAGGAATAAGTCCAGTTATCACCCGAAGACGATTGTGGAGACTAACAATCGAATCGTTCTGACATAACTTGGTTTGAAATCATGGCTTTCATTCATTCATTTTTCAATATTTCAAAAAAAGGTGTTTATTTGTTCCTAAAAATTTGTTCATCGAATAAATTTTGAGCAACTTTTCAATATCTGCAACATCTTAAGGTATTAACCAAAAACGTAAATTTTTCTGTGTGAAATTACGAATGACACCTCGATCATAATTTCCGCAAAAAGCGAACTTAAATCATATGTAGTGGCACTGCCGGGCCACTCCATAATTTGAAATCATTTTGAATTTTCATGATTTTTTCGGATCTTTTCCTGATGTCACATATTTCAGCGAGTCCTGGAACAAAAAAAATTCTTGGTTGCCCACATTTATTTGTTAGTACTGAAAATGAACAAATTTCACTTCAGTAAGCTAGGAAATGAAATGAATAATTTTACTCTGATATGCTTTTGGATTACATTCTGCGGCAGATTTTCCCATTCTTGTACCAGAATGTCGCGTAGCTCTCTAGAATTTTTTCTAAGCTCATCCCAAACACGTTCAATGAGATTCAGATCCGGACTATGTGCAAGCCAAACAAATCGCTTGAGTGGAACCTCATCAAGGTACTGAGTGACGATCCGGGTAGGGCTGTGGAGCCGTGCATTATCATACATAAATGTTGTACTGTCTCTATAAAACGGCATGTATGGTGAAACATAGTATTGTAAAACCTCCATCAGGTACCTATACACATTCAACGATAAAGATTTTCAATAAAGACTATTTCTGTGCGAGCGTCAAAAGATATGCCTTCCCATGCCACAACTGATCCGCCGCCACCAAATGGAAGTCGCTTGGCAATATATGCTGGAGCATACCTCTCGTCTGGTCGTTTCCATACTCGTTCACGTCTGTCTGAGCACGTTACGCTAAATGCACACACACCGACTTTGAACGGCCGATTTTATACCGGTCGTCCAAATTCCACTAGTGAACCACATGTGAGTACGGGACCTGGCACACACGCCGACCGGTGATCGGCGTCGATCACCGGTAGGTATGTGTGCAAGGTCCCGTTCCTACATCTGGTTTACTATTGAAATTTGGATGGCCAGTATAAAATCGGCCATCCACAATCAGTGTGTGTGCAATTAGCCTAAAGCTTGTCACCCACTTGTCCGGTTCAGCACAGCACGGCCCGTTCCGTCAAAATGCAGATAGGATTGGAACAATGAAAATGAATGGACAACCGCCCACTTGCCCGGCACGGCACAGCCAAGAACGTCCGCCACCGAAAAGGATTCCAGCTCTCCGATCCTGTCCGGCAAATAACGCTAGTTGCACACACACCGATTTTGGACGGCCGACTTTGTACCGGTCGTCCAAATTCCAATAGTGAACCACATGTGGGAACGGGACCTAGCACACATGCCGACCGGTGATCGTCGCCGATAAAATACCGGTGAACAGCCGTCCACTGCCAGTGTATCGGCGGCAGTACCGGGAAGTAGTGACGTACATGACTAAATACACTCTTGCATACTCACCGGTTTTTTACCGACCATTCCAGTCTAGAATACTCGGTGAAATTGTAGTTACTACGCATTAACTTCGTTTTGGTAGTGCGTGCTAATTACGACAACAAAGCAACTGATTGTTTGACCGATGAAAATCCGGTGAGTGTGCAAGCACCCGCTACCAATAAAATATCGGCCGATTTTATACTGGCCATCCAAACTAGCGTATCGGTACATGCTGTGACGGACTGGCCAAGTGAGCGCGTCGTCAGCCAGCGATTGCCAGCATTAACGTGTCCAAACGTGCCTGGGAAGTTTTTGTCTCTCTGTTTTGCTATTCCATCAGTTGACAGCACGGTATCAGACGGTACCCATGAAAATGGACGAGGAAAAATTGAGGTGCTTCTTGAGGCAGGCTCTAGAATATCCGGAAGTCCTGAAAATTTGCCTGGCGTCATTCGAAAATACTGGAAAAATGTCTCCTCGTCTTCTTTCAGGTCGTTGAAAAGATGATGAAACTCCCCCAGATTTTCTCTCTTATGATTAATAGGATGGATCGACATACTTCTTTTTTTGTGACTATTTTCTTCTTCATTCAAAAATGCGGCCACTATAATGACGTCTTCTTCATCAGAACTGCTAGTTATAGACATTTTTCTGTCACCGCTCGATGTCAGCAGAAATTCCCTTAAATTCGAACAAAAAGTACCTTCAGTATGCTGGTTGTAGCTGGACAAATGGGCGATGCTACTACCCGTTGCCATCAGACGACGGACAGCGCCGTGCTGTGCTGTGCCGGACAAGTGGGCGACAAGCTTAAGGCAGAATTGGTATTCATGGAAAAACAGTACACGCCTTCAATCTGCTAGTTTCTAAGCCAAGTATTCTCGTGGAAATTTCAATCTTGCCATCTGGTGTTCACGGGAAAGCAGCGATCCAGAAGCTCTAGTTCGAGAAGATAATCCAGCAGCCCGGAGTCGCCTCCTAACTGTCCACTTGCATGTTTACATTTCTGATTTCTGGCAGATGACTTCGAAGGGAAACTGCCGTAACTGTCGGTTTCTCAAAGCACTAGATACGAGAAAGCGTTGATCCCTAGCTGTTGTAGTCCTGCCTCGCCCTGAACCAAGTCTTCGAGTTAGCAGACCAGTTTCTTGGTACCGCCGCCATAGTCCTTGCACACTCAAGAGACTCACACCTACGTTTCTTGAAGTTTGCCCTGACCGAGGTCATTTTCGAAAGTTGCCACAACAGAATTTATGTTCATTTTGGTACACCAACATTGACAATAAATCACGAACAAAGGGCAATTGATGATGAAACTTCAGAAAAAAAAGTATACTAATAGTTGTTTTCAGGAATTAGACGAGGGTTCGTTGTTTGTCGAACACTTATCACAGAAACAACACCAACTATGTTTTTATAACAATTCATTACTACAGAATGGTACATCCAAAATAATTCAAATATAAAAATTAATTTCCAAGATAAGTTCAACTTATGGGGTGACCCTAATTTTATGCCCGGCAGTGTATATCCAGTATAGCATTCAGCTCAAATCTAAACTTCTTATTCATCATAGAAAACATTACTGTAATGATGCTTATAAATTTCACGGTAAAACTGTTTGCTACCTTGGGCTGCTGATAAGGTCACGTTTGAGATACACAATATTATCATCTGAGTGTATGTTATCTGAAGGTACACATTTCCATCCCTTCAACAAGTTTTTCTTCTAGGAGCCCCTATGCATATTACCGGTGACATTAATACGGTTGAGGATGGTGGAAAATCTCTTTGAATTCGCCCCACAACTTGTTTAAGGGATGTTTCAGGTAAAAGTTTGAGTTGTTGAATATATATATATATAGTTGTAGTGAAATTTTAAGTTTCGTACCTGCACATGTTGGTAATCCACGGGCTGCATAAAGACTTGTGCACAATGCCAATTGTACAAATCAATTCAATGCAGAGTGCAACAGACTGTTGGTTGACACTGGAAGTCACAGCATTCTGGAAATGACCTCTGACTTCATGACTCCAACTGACAACTACGTACTGCCTTATAAAGTACTGTTCTCGAGCAAAGAGGACTCCGGGAGAAGGTAATATAGAGAACAGATAGTTGTTGGTTCATAAATGGATCAAAAACAACTTCCGATTCTGGTGCAGGTATTTACAGTCGCAGACCCAGGGCAGAGATATCTACCTGCCTAGGAACTATGCGACTGTATTTCAAGCGGAAATTCACGCTATTGAATTGTGTGCGGAGAGATTGGATGAATCCAGCCTCACACACAAGTCAATAAAAATGTTCTCGGACAGTCAAGCGGTGTTGGTAGCTCTTGGCTCACACGGAGCAAATTGGTAGCAAAGTGCCAGAAACGACTCTTCTCGATAGAAAGACTTAACAGATTGCCTCTGGTCTGAATTCCTGGCCATATTGGCCTGGGAGGCAATGAAGCTGCTGACTCCCTTACAAAGGAGGGTGCTGCAAGCAGCTTCATCGGACCAGAACCTGTCATTAGCATAGCTTTAGGCTTTGCCAAACAAAGACTGAACATCTGGATGGCAAGAAGATTTATGGACTTCTGGCAGAGTATTCTAGGATTGGCTCACTCCAAGGCGTTCATTCACCCTCCGAAGCTTGATACCAAACAGTTGTTGGACTACAGTAGGGATGAACTACGATGTCTAACTCTTACAGGTAACTGTCATTTGAATCATCATATGCAAAGACTTGAACGGTTGGAAGACAGTGTGTTTCGCCTCTGTTTGAAAAATGATGAAACAGCAGAGCATATACTTTGTGCCTGAATCAGGTTCTTAGAGTTTGGCAGAGCCGTACTCTTACCATCTGAACTGAAAGACCACCCGCCATACAAACTGATCGGCTTCGTTAAGAAGCTGGGTTCATTTGGTCGAGTGTGAATAGGTGTGAGCCACAATGAACCCTTGTGGGTTGCGGTGGAGGGTCGTATAGACGGACTCACTTTAGACCTAACCTAACCTATTCTAGTATTTCGTTCTTCACTTCAATCCAGAAATTTAAATGCAGGCTCCGCGCCTCATATGCGGTTTTATCGATAGACACACAGTCCTAGAAATACCCGAAACGCTTAGCTAAGCAAAAAATGGGTTTTTCCTTGGACTATTTCGTGTGGGCCTGTTTGATGAAAACGAGATAAAATTAGCGACTTAAGTAAGGCGGGACCATAGGCTAATTAATGCCGTCATTTCGATACCTCGATACGTGTTTCGTCACCAAGTGATCATCTGCAAGAGGAACTTCAATCTTCCTCTTGAAGATAATCACTTGGTGATCGAAACACATATCGGGGTGTTCAAACGGTGTGGTGTTGAAAAAATGTCCAGTAATATTCATTACTACACCAAAGGTTCCAAACATTGCATCACAAGTACATAATGACGTCCAGGGCAACAGAACCGAGTCTGTATCGTAAGGACTCAACAAAAATACAAGCAGATATTCGGTTTCTTAAAAGATATTCGGTTTTTCCAAAATTTATTCACGTAAATATTCCTACTAATTCTGCAGTTGCTGATAAAGTCCAGAAATTCACCAGAGATAAATGGCTTGATTTAAAATTCGATCATCTGTACACTACCTGTAGTCTCTTAGAAGATAGTCTATACAAAAACTAACATATAGATTAGACGAAAATGATTACGCACAATGGAATGACTTCTTGAGAGGAATGTTTCGGATGATTGAAACGAAATATATCATGAAAATGTGTACTTTGAATAAGAAACTTGAAATCCTCATAACTGAGAATGAACCAAAAGAAGCCACTTCGAAAGTCATAAACATCGTCGAAAATCATTCATCACAATCGTTTATAAAGGAAGAGATCAAAGTTTTGAACAACGGTTTGAAATTTGGCATCCCTTCTTCCGAGAAAGTTCTTGAGGATATCATTGCTAGTGTTAAAAGTTTGATTCAATATATGCCTGGTTCCTGGAAGGGACTAGTTCGAGAGGAAGTGGGGAATAAAATTTCCAGGAACATGATAACAGTTTACAGTTCAAACTTCCTCTTGAAGATGATCACTTGGTGATCGGAACACGTGTCGAGGTGTTGAAATAACGGTTTGGTGTTGGGATAAAACTCCAGTAATATTCATTACTACACCAAAGGTTCCAAACAGGTCATCACAAGTTGGCAAATCGAGATCAACTGTAACCTTCCTTGATCCATCTCGCGATGGATCAAGGGAGGTTACAAAAAACTTATGATATGGTACCTGCGATTGCTTTGAGAGTTTATGGAAAGAGTATTCGCAGAGTTTTTGCTTGAGGCGTCCTGGGTTATTTCTGAAGAGCCAAGGCAGAGGAGTCAAAGGGGGATTTTAGTCAAGCGAAGTCAAGTGTTTGATATTTGAAAACGGGCGGTTAACACAAAATAGCAGAATTATCCGAGATGAGCTAGAAAGACGGCGGTGAGTTTACTGTACAGGTGTAATAACCGTTATTTGAGTTTTGGGAAGGAAGGTAGCGGTTGCAAACTCTTAAGATCTTTTTCAACTGCAACTAAAGACCTCCTCTTCGTGAAAGATGCCAAACTCAAGCTCCTTCCGGGATTACCTTAACATCCAAAATTTGATATGGAGAAATCCGCATATGGTGACAGCAGCTGCCAAATCAATTTAACAAAACAATCATGACGGTAGCTATAGGGTTACAAATGGTTATTGCTCAACCATATTTTTTCATAAATAATAACAGATAGCTAAGAATGAATGCTATTGTTACAACTGGTAATAGAAAGTTGAATGAGGTATTGATACAGTGATGACGATTGGTGGAATATCGTTATAAGTCAAGTAAATGCCTACCATTATTATTATTACGTATTATTATCACACTGATGGCCAGCTGAAGTAGTAGCGTTACATTTCAGAGATGATTTTTTCCACATTACGGTGTTCAATTTATAAAGCAACTGTGAAAAAATTCATTTTTCAAAGATCAGTGAAAAAAGATCAGGACCTTGTCACACTTTATCAACTTCCATCAACACTTCATGAAGAGAGAAAAGACTATTACCGATCGAGACATGCGCATCGTTTCCGATTTTATAGACGAATGCAGCTTCGAGTTTCCTTGGCATCGATCCAGATCTTTATTCTTTTCGATCAGCAAACTGGTTTCCTTCACTCCAACGACTTTGTAATCAGTGGGACAACTTCCCCGGACGTCCACTTCCTCGGTGGAAAGGTCAAGATCCAATCGTTTCATCGAATTGTGTAGCATACTCAGAATTCCTCTTTTGAAGTTCAAAACCCATTCTTTCTCATCCTCCCTGGGACACAATTCGCTAATGACGCCGTCCTTAAAGGAAAACCTCAAGGAATATTCCGTTATCATGTCAGCAAATAGTTGAGTATTAGCGTGTTCCGAACTCTCCGAGCCATCTCTAGGGATGTTTTCACTTAATTTAATGTCCGCTAGGGTCAAGAGTCCGTCGCAAGGTGTGAGAAATGCCAGAGTTGCCGTCCCTTCCACGTATAGGGTTGATTCGTTCTTGCTTGTCCCGTTGAAGAGAGACCTCACTTCTACCGAATATTTGTAGTTTCGCTGTATGTCTGGTGTATACTTGAATTTGCCGGCACCTGAAACATAAGTAATTCGATTTTGATGCGGGAGTATATAGGATTACTTTAGAGTTAAAGCTATAATCAGTAACAGGGACACATACAATGCATAATGAACGACATAGAATTCGAAGAAATATATTGTAGCGAAACAAAACAAAGTAGATCATTTCATAACATAATTCGTCCAAACATTTGATGCTATAGCATCAAGAATCAGGAAGTCAGTTGAACAAAATATCCAATGATAGAACAGCAGCACCACAGAACAATTCAGAAACGTCACGAGGAATATTTAGATATGACAGAAACGTCAAATAGTCTTCTACTGAAAAAATAACTACTGTTGAAATTTTGATAGCAGTATTTCACAATTTCCTCTGCATGCGTGACTGGGGCATGCTTCTCTTGCCATAGTGTCACTTTCAAACAATGACCAATTACAGCAAAAATCGTAGCTCTTCACTACCAATAAACAGTTTGTTTGGTCTGAGTTACATTATTAAAGTCGGCTTCAACAACTTATCTTTGATAAACTCTATATTTATCCTAATAAATCAAGTACTTTCTTCAATTAGTTCTTGTGTTTGTAAAAAGTTGATTTCATTTGTAAATGTATGCAGGTCAATAATTCACTGCCCATACATATATTTATGATGGTTTTAAATATTGAATATTCTGCAGTAACACTGGTTTAGGAGAAAATTCAAATAAGCCGCGTATATGTTGTCCAACAACGCATCTAGTCAAGCTAGCGTAGAGATACGTAACATATGGAAACCTCTAATTAAGCGAAAAACGACCAACTTCCGTCCAACGGTCATCTACCGCCAAAACCAAATGAAGCCGAAAGAGGGAAGAGGGGATAGGTGAATCAACTCGAATGACCTATAAATAGTCAGATCTCGGAGGAATAAGTCCAGTTATCACCCGAAGACGATTGTGGAGACTAACAATCGAATCGTTCTGACATAACTTGGTTTGAAATC